AAGCAAAATTATCAACCTACACCATTACTAATGTTACTTACTTACTTACCATTACTAATGCAGGAAAATCTAATTAATTACCACATTGCCACATCCAGTTATAATTTTTGGATGAAAATCTTCACGCTAATAATCAACAAATAATAAGTCTGGCTCATTGAGAAGAATTTTGTAAAAGTTACCAAATTCCAGTTATAAGATAAATAAGCACTAGGGATGTAATATACAACATGATAAATATAACTATCACTGCTATATGTTATATGTGAATACAGTTAGGAGAGTAAATCCTAAGAGTGCTCATCAGAAGGAAAAATGTTTTTCTCTGTTTCTTTAATTTTGTATTTTGTATGTATTTGAGATGATGGATATTCACTAAACTTATTGTGATAATCATTTCAGGATGCATGTAAGTCAAATCATTATGTTGGGCACCTGAAACTTACACAGTGTTGTATGTCAATTATATCTCAATAAAACTGAAAGAAAAAATTAAAAAAGAAGGATTTTGTGATAGTGTTTTTTGTTTGTTTCTTTTGGCCGTGCCCCACAGCATGTGGGATCTTAGTTTTCCAAACAGGGATTGAACCTGCACCCCCCTGCATTAGAAGCACAGAGTCTTAACCTTTAGACCATCAAGGAAGTCCCAGTGATGGTGCTGTTTTTGCCCATGTGAATGCCCCTGGAGGTAATATTTCCTCTTGGTAGAATGTTTCTGAGTAACTACCAACAAAGAGAATTTCTGCCCTAGAGGGACATTGGGCCCACATGGGACAGCCAAGGACAAGAATCTGAGAATTAACTCAGCTTCCATTAAGTGAAGTCACGCAGTCATGTCCGACTCTTTGTGACCCCATAGACTGTGGCCTTCCAGGCTCCTCCGTCCATGGGATTGTCCAGGCAAGAATACTGGAGTGGGTTGCCATTCCCTCAACTCACTTGTAACATCCCCTCTGACTACTGCTTATCTTCTAAAGGCTACCTAACAGAATTGTGGTGTTCTAAATTTACAAAACATGGAGGATTCCCTATTGTCTTCTTGAAAAATTTTCAGCCAACAGTGAGTTCTCGAGCCTTCCCTCCTTGACTTGCATTTGTGCCTTCAGTGATTAAATAAAACTTGACTAGTTAGTCATCTGGGAAAGTAAAGTGGTTTGTTTTTTTTTTTTTTTTGGCCACTCTGCATAGCATGTGGGATCTTAGTTTCCCAGCCAGGGAGTGCACCTCGCTGCTGCAGAAGCAATGTCTTCACTGCTGAGTCACCAGGAAGATTCTGTACGCAGAACTTTGCAGTTTCTTTTTCGGTGCTGAGCTCTGTATGTGTCTCTGATGATTAATTTTATGTGTCAACGTGACTGCGTCTCAGGTTGCCCAAATATTTGGTCCAGCATTATTCTGGGTGTGCCCTTTGAAGTCTGAATGAATTAACATTTGAATCAACAGACTAAGTAAAGTAGATTGTCCTCCTCTATCTAGGTGAGCCTCACCCAATCAGTTGAAGGCCAGACTAGATGAAAACGTTCTTGAAGACAGAAGGCACTCTCTCTGCCTGTCTTCACGCTGGGACATTTATCATCTCCTGCCCTCAGATTTGGCCTGGAAGTTGCATCACTATCTCTCCTGCCTCTCAGGCCTTTGACTTCAGCTTGTCAACCGCACATTTGGGGACTTCTCAGCCCCCATGGGGCTTCCATGATGGCTCAGTTGATAAAGAACCCGCCTACAGTGCAGGAGGCCCTGGTTTGATCCCTGGGTTGGGAAGATCCCCTGGAGAAGGGAAAGGCTACCCACTCCAGTTTTCTGGCCTGGAGAATCCCATGGACTGTATAGTCCGTGGGGTCACAGAGTCAGACAGGATTGAGGGACTTTCACTTTCACTTTCAGCCTCCATAATCATGTGAGTTAATTACTATACAGTAAATGCCTATCATCTAGCTAGTTAGCTAGCGAGCTAGCTGTGTACTTCTCTGGAGAACCCTGACTAATACAGATATTGGTGCTGAGAGTGATCCTAGAGAACCAGAATATTAAGGATGGGTTTTCTGAATTGGTTCTGGGTTTCTGGAATTGGCTGTCTAATCTCATTAGATTTAAAGACACTAATGACTATTTCCAGTAGTAAAGAGAATACTAATGATCCCTGGCATGATTGGCAATGTGTCCTCTGTGTTGTCACTTCAGTCATAGCTGACTGTTTGTGACGCTATGGACTGTAGCCTGCCAGGCTCCTCTATCCATGGGGTTCTCCAGGCACGAACACTGGAGTGGGTTGCCATGCCCTCCTCTAGAAGATCTTCCTGACCCAGGGATAGAACCCATGTCTCTAATGAATGGCAATAGAGATGCCTAACATATCTGCACTGGATATACCTAACTGACTGCAAGCAGAAATCCAGGGAGGCACTTCCCTGGTGGCTCAGCAGTAAACAATCCGTCTGCAGTGCAGAAGAGGCGGGACACACAGGTTCAATCCCTGGGTCAGGAAGATCCCCTGGAGTAGGAAATGGCAACCCGGTATTCTTGCCTGAAAAATCCCATGGACAGAGGAGCCTTGCAGCTAGCGTCCAAAGGGTTGCTAAGAGTCAGATACAACTGAGCAGCTGAGCGTGAGCCTGGCAACCCCAGTAACCTGTGTGAGACTCCTGTATTAAGGGTATAGGATCATGGCAGAGAAACATAAAGCTGGATCAAGTCTGGCTGCAGGATCTGTTCCCATGTTGGTCTCCAAAGTCAATCTGTGAGTTCGTTTCATGGAGCCCACATCCTCTTTTCCTCTCGTGGCCCATTAGCATTCTCTTAAAGTTGGAAGGAAATTTGAAAAGGACAAATAGGAGAAGTCTGTTCAACAACATCTGAGGATGATTGTTCTTCCCAATCCCTGTAAGCACACACATTTCAAGACTTCCCATAAGCCATAGATCAAGGCCAATGTCCTAATCCTTTGCTCTGAAGTTCATTACTAGGGTGATCTAGGCTATGTTAATTCTCTTCTCTTATGGTCTTATATTTCAATTTATTCCTTCTTTTTTTTTTTAAAGGAGTCAAACTCTTTTTACAAATTAATTATTTATGTATTTATTTATTTTTGGTCAGGCTGGGTCATCGTCGCTGCGTGTGGGCTTTCTCTAGGTGCAGTGAGCCAGGGCTGCTCTTGTTGAGGTTCCCAGCTTCTCACCACAGCGGCTTCTCTTTCTGCAGAGCCCTGGCTCCAGGCACAGGGGCTGCAATAACTGCAGCTTGCAGGCTCAGCAGCTGCAGCTCCTGGGGCTTTGCAGCACAGGCTCCACACTTAGGCATACAAGCTGAGCAGTCCCGCGGCATGCGGAATCTTCCCAGACCAGGGAACCAACCCATGTGCCCTTGCAAGGGCAGGCAGATTCATTTCATATCCACTGCACCACCAGAGAAGTCCAATTTATTCCTTCTGTTTGATGAAAGTCTAAAGCAGCTCTCTTTACCCACCTGTCCTTTTTATATTTTAAGGCCATTTTCTGAGCTGTGACATAAGACTGTGATCTTCCTCTTTAACACGTGCCTGATCTCCTATTTTTCCTGTTGGGTTTTCCCAGCTGATCTCAGAGCCCTGACAGCTTTTTCCAGCCCTAGGCTGAATAGACATGGAATTTCTTCAATTCTGTGTATGGTTCTGACGCAGGATTCAATATGTCACTTGCCATTCTTACAATATCTTATTGTTTGTTTGTTTTCATGCAAATGTTCACTCAGCCAAAGCCTATTGAAATCTGAGGTGGTGTCAGCTTTGTGCCAGATGCTTTGATTAAACAACAAGAAAACCCACCATTTCTGCCTAGGAAGAGCTCCTAGTCTAGAAAGCAAAGGCAATATGTAAACAAGTATATTGTAGCTCATCGTGCTAAGTATCGCACACTGTGACGGGAAGAAAAAACGATCTTCCTCTGGGGGAGTTGATAGGTCTCATAGGAAGAGACATTTCCATTAATCTTGAAACCTAAGTAAGAGTCTGCCAATCAGAAGGCAGTAGGGGAAGAACAGGGCATCTGAGTAAAGGGAATCCAGTGTGCAGAGGCTCTGAAATAATTGAGGAACATTCTGATATGTTCCCGGAGGTCTGATGGGTTAGGTGGGGTTAGATGTGTGGTGCATTGAGCGCACCACAGTTTGATGAGGTCAAACTGTGAGGACCTGTGTAGAGAGGACTGAATTTTACTCTAGAGGCCAGAAGAGAGAGGGGAGACTCTTTAAGCAGGGAAGTTGAACAATCAGATTTTTCTGTTACATGTCTATTGTCATTGACCTCATGAAATGGCTCCAAACTTGTGGACACAGCCGGGAAAGGAGAGGGTGGGACAGATCGAGAGCGTAGCGTTGACATATATGCTCCACCATGTGTAAAACAGCTATTAGCAGCTCGCGGGGAGTTGCTGTAGAGTACGGGAGCTCAGGTCGGGGTTCTCTGACAACCTAGAGGGGTGGGATAGAGGTGGGGTTGGAGGGGGGCTCAAGAGGAAGGGGACATATGTATACTTGCAGCTGATTCACGTTGTCTTAGAGCAGAAGCTAACACAACATTGTAAAGCGCTTATACTCCAATTAAAAATAGACTAAAAACAATAGCAAACAAACAAAAACAAAGGGCTCTGGGTTTTGGAGTCTTAAAGGGGTGCGCCCTACTCATTTAGTTGAAGGTGCTCGGGGTAGCCTTTCAATAAAGACCTCTCTGCTAATTCATTTTATTTATTTCTCCTACCTCGTCCTCCAAATGCTGTCTTTCTCTCCTTGGCCAGGTTTGGACATACACTGACAGCCTTTGTCTCCTGTTTTGACACTTTCTTCTGTTACCCAGACCTGGTCTTTACGTGTACTGCTGATGTTTGCGCCCATCCCAGCCTCTGTTTTAATTACTCAGACACAGCCCCTGGAAGTAGCCACGCCCACTCAAGAAGTTGCGCGCCTATGAAGTTTGTTCTCAGTAGCGCGCCGTACTGACGGCCCCAGCGCGCAGGCGCAGTTCCCCGCTCCTGGCGGCGTGTGTTCGTCTTTCCCAGGGCTCCCGGCATCCCGGAAGTTGGACCGCGGGCTCTTCACAGTCACCCTCCTGCTAGTGTTCGCCGTGTGCTTCGGTCCCTCGTCTCGCAGTCCCAGCTCCCGGGGCCGCTGCTCTAGGTCCGCAGGTCTCCGCCGGCGACAGACCCATGGCCGAGCGCGGAGAACTCGACCTGACTGGCGCCAAGCAGAACACCGGAGTGTGGCTGGTCAAGGTAAGGTTCGCGTGGCTCCCGCTTGCGCTCCTTTTAAAGTAGTTTTAAGTGACTTGAGGGGAGAAGGAACTGGCAACCCACTCCAGTACTCTTGCCTGGGAAATTCCATGGATGGAGGACCCTGGTGGGCTACAGTCCATGGGGTCGCAAAGGGTCGGACACGACTGAGCGACTTCACTTTCTTTCTGTAGTTCCTTTTGGAGAAGGAAATGGCAACCCATTCCGATGTTCTTGCCTGGAGAATCCCATGGACAGAGGGGCCTTGTGGGCTGCAGTCTATGGGGTTGCAAAGAGTCGGACACGACCGAGCAACTAAGACACACACACGACTTGAGACAGTCCCAGTTCACACACACACACACACACACACACACACACGGGGCCTGGTGGGCTGCAGTCTATGGGGTTGCAAAGAGTCGGACACGACTGAGCAACTAACACACACACACACACACGACTTGAGACAGTCCCAGTTCACACACACACACACACACGACTTGAGACAGTCCCAGTTCACACACACACACACACACACACACGACTTGAGACAGTCCCAGTTCGTGCGCCTTTTAGCTCATTACGGCTCTCTCGTCAGAGCTTCACTTACCTTGAGAGGCAGGGTTGTTTGTTAGGCTTGTTTGCAGACGAGGACATTGGTTCAGGGACGCCCAGTGTGTTTCAGCCAACTAAGAGTCTGAACGTGCTTGGAATGGATCTCCTTGTCCCATGACCTGGATTTTCTGGGCTCCTATCTTGATGGCCCCCCAGTTTGAGCATTTTACACCAGACTGAAGAATTTCTTCATCTCCTTTTGGTGAAACTGATTTCAGTCATCAATCTCTATAAGAAAGTTGAGCGTTTGCTTTTTGGGTAGTTTTCTGAGCCAGAAAGTAGAACTGGTCTCTGCATACCCTGGTGGCTCAGATGGTGAAGCATCAGCCTGCAATGCAGGAGACCCGGGTTCGATCCCTGGGTCGGGAAGATCTCCTGGAGAAGGGAATGGCAACCCACTCCAGTATCCTTGCCTGGAAAATCCCATTCGGAGGAGCCTGATAGGTTACAGTCCATGGGGTTGCAAAAAGTTGGACAGGACTAAGCGACTTCAGTTTCACTCCTAAAGTGTTCTTTTAGGTTGATGACTCTTACAGAGTTCCCAGGAGAGCTGAGAGAGCTCTCAACTCAGGGAAGGAGAGACCATAGACGGGAGTGTACTTTTAGAGCTCGACTGGGTCTCAGGTAAAACTGACTGTCAGTAATTTTTTTTTTTTTTTTTGTAAAGGCAGCATTTTGATTAACCCTTAGTAAGTACTTACTGGGCTTCCCTTGTGGCTCAGCTGGTAAGGAATCCACTTGCAATTTGGGAGACCTAGGTTCAGTCCCTGGGTTGGGGAGATCCCCTGGAGAAGGGAAAGGCTACCTACTCCAGTATTCTGGCCTAGAGAATTCCATGGACCGTATAGTCCAAGGGGTCGCAAAGAGTTGGACACGACTGAGCAACTTTCACTTCTTCATTTAGTGAGTACACTATTTATGCCTTACTGTTTTCATATTGGGGACTGTTGTTTTTTAGGAAGTTTTCATAAGACATGTGTATATTCAAAATGTAATTATGACAGTCTTGAAAACTCAAGTAAAACGTAGAGACTTTGTTAGATTTTTAGAAAGCTTTTATCACATGTCTGAGTTCTTATCAGTTAAATCTGAGAGGCCCTTCCAGTCTTCCTCTCTGATGTAGCTCCCTTATGATTAAGTTCAGTTCAGTCGCTCAATTGTGTCTGACTCTGCGACCCCATGGACTGCAGCACGCCAGGCTTCCCTGTCCATCACCGACTCCCGGAGCTTACTCAAATTCATGCCCATCTGGTTGGTGATGCCTTCCAGCCATCTCAGCCTCTGTTGTCCCGTTCTCCTGCCTGTATGATTATTCACTAGCATGTTGAACCTGTATTAACATTCTTCAAAGCACACGCACAGTCATATTTCACAAGAGTAGGCTTCTTGCCTGTCACACCCAGAACTGTGTTTGGCATAAGGTAAATAGCTCCGATAATGTGAGATATGCATTAATGAATGAACTCTTATTCTTCATCCTTAGCCTTAATCTCTGGTGCTGATTTGACTTATCACAGTGACATCAGTGTGATTTAAAATGGTGGAGTAACCAAGTATCTCTCTCCTCCTGCATGCTAAGTGGAAAGATATTATTAGGGAGGAAATCTCCTTTGCAGATGGAAAGAGCTTGAAAAGATGGCTAGAGCTTGAGGCGATATGTTTGTGCTTGGAGCACAGTAGATGCTCAATAAATGTTGTTTGCCTTACAGAGGTTTGGATGGGGGGCCCAAAGTATCTCCGTAGCGTACCATGGAGAGTGGTTCTGAAATGCAAGAGTGAACATGCACAGTAACATGGTGTGGGCTGGAAAACAAAGAGAACATCATGCCTAGAGGAGCAGATTGGGACCATATACTGATATTGTCACGTTGTGAAATGGGAGTGTTTTAACTCTAGTCTACAGGAAATGAGGAGACTCTTGGACGATTTTGAGTAAGGCAGGGGTACAAATGATTCTTTTAGGGGGAAAAAAAAGCTTGAAGATAACCAGAGTCAAAATTAGAAAATTATCACAGGATCCTAGACATTTGATAGTGAAGTCTCAGGAGTTAGGGAAACTTTTTCAGCAAAAGTTGTCAGGATGCGCCGACTGACTAAATGAGGATGTAAGAGAAAGTTAAAAATCTAAGAAAGTTACAAATCTACAAAGTTAAGAAATTTTAGTGTTCTCTCTTATATGGCCATTTGAATACATTTTATCACTTTAAAAAGAAGTCTTACTAATGATAGTTCAAATTAGAATTTTTTAATTCAAATTAGAATTTGAATAGAACCGCATACAGTTTTAAATCTTTTTGCTCTATGTTCGTATTTCTTATTGTAAATCATGCCTTGAGTTCTGAGCTTTGAGGATCATTTGTTGCAAAATATGTGAGTTCCTAGAGTATCGCAAGTTTATGGGCCATGTTTGTTCATAATTAATTTGTTCATTATTAATTTCATCACTAGACAAGTAAGGAAAAGGATAAATACAGTAAGAGTTATACATACAAGATCTCTGTTTTAAGCAGTAAAAAAGTTATCCGGTAGGATCAGGGAAGACTTCATGGGGAAGCTGACATTTAAGAAGAGCCTATGGAGTTGATTAGTTAGGGAAAAAGTAAAAAGTTCTGAGCAGGGCTGGTGAGTGTGTTCAGGAAAAGGCAAATAGAGTGGAAGATTGTGTACCAGAATGTCCACTACCTGTATCTGTTCTGACCAGTGAAATGCTGCAGGGAGGGAGCAATTGGCCCGCTGGCGGTGGTCAGGCTCCACTCACACCCTACAGCTGGGATCATTTGTGGCTTTGCGCACATGCGTCGTGGTGTGGTCTATATAAGCACCACCTGAAAAGCTCCTGTAGTTGAGGTGAGTCTAGTTGAGTTGGGTAGTTGCTACTGCTGCTGTGTCAGCCATTAGAAAATAAAGCATGTCCGTGTTGCTGCTGCAAATAAAGACTGCGGTCCCTGTAGTGCCTCGCATCTTCGTCCAGCTTCCCCACTCGTGCCTTGCCCACCCTGGGGTCAGCGAACAGTGAGATGCAGCAAGACAAAGGCCATTTCTGGAGTTCTGAATACCTTAAATCTACAAGAGAACGATGATCTAAATAAGTTTTGATAGATAATAGACGTGACTGGATTTAACTTTACAATAGATGTTGCCTGCTAAAAAAAACATAACCTACAGCTTTTCCCTGGTTGGAGAGCTCACTCCTCGGTTCATGGTGCTCAGTCTTTGCCACTGTCAGGCCGCCAGCCGGTCACAGTGCTGCCGTTGCACACTGTACCAAATGATGATCTAAAAGTGATATTTAAGAACATTTTAGCATGTTCTGTTGTTTGGCTTCCAACATTTAGACTTCTGGAAAAGTCATCTTCTCTAGTTCTGATTGGCTGGAGGGTAGGGTACCTGATGGGGAAGAGGAGAAGATGAAACGTGCAGCGTTTTTAGGAGTGGTGGGGTTTTTGTAAGTAATGAATATCCTATCAGAGCTTGAGTGATAAGAAAACTATCTTTCTTGGAGGAAATGGACAAGTGGAGGTATTGACAAGCATTGCGGTAGGTTCACCCAACAGCTTTCTGGCCAGCGTAAAGTTGTGTTTCAGGTCCCATCAGCCTTCCTCCTGTGAGCATTTTGATTAATGTTTGTTGGAGGAGAGAATCAGGACCGAAGGGATGGACATCGTCCTCTGTCAATGTTGGGTCCTCCGTTCAATAGCTCAGTTGGTAAAGAACCTGCCTGCAATGTAGGAGACCCCGGTTTGATTCCTGGATCGAGAAGATCTGCTGCAGAGGGGATAGGCTACCCACTCCAGTATTCTTAGGCTTCCTTTGTGGCTCAGCTGGTAAAGAATCCGCCCGCAATGCGGGAGACCTGGGTTCGATCCCTGGGTTGGGAAGATCCCCTGGAGAAGGGAAAGCCTATCCACTCCAGTATTCTGGCCTGGAGAGTTCCATGGACTGTATAGTCCATGGGGTTGCAAAGAGTTGGACACGACTGAGCGACTTTCACTTTCATTCAACACTTCAAAAGCCATCAAGCTTAGCTTTTCTTTTTTCACAGACAAATAAGCAGTTGGACATTGGCAGCCAGAGAGAAAGCTATCTACCAGGGAGACATGAAACTGGAATGGGTGATACCCAAAGCCTTGCAGGAGAAAAAGAAACTTATAACGTGCCAAGTATTTTACAAAGCAAACCTGTGAAGTAGGTACTAATTATCTATATTTTTCAGATGGTAAAATTGAGGCTTAGGGAAGTTAGTTATCCTGCCCAAACATGGAACAGTGATTCAAATTTAGGTCTGTTTGGCTACAAAGCTTATGCCAGGAATAGGAAGTATCCTTTCCCCCCACCCCTGCCCCATCCCTTGGGTCTCTTTAATGAGTCTTCTCCCTGGAGAACAGAAG